CATCCACGGCTTACTTTTCGTTCATCTGTAGGTTCTTTCCTACTAGTTCTGTGCCTCATGTCAACTTTGATCACACTGACGGTGGAAGAAACCTGAGAAAGTAAACTGCCTGTGATTGGCCACTTTGCAGAAAATCCCACCTCTTGAAACAATACTGGTAGCAGCTAGTAACGTTTGCAACGCATCTTCTTCTGGCTAATATTAAAGAGCAGAAGTCATTCTTCATATCTAACAGCCTTCTCTGTCATCAGCTGATAATTTATAAACACAATTCTGGACACCACAGGAAAAAAAATCTAAACAGTAGCTGCAAACTGACTATAAATAGTCAGTGGACAGGTTGCATCACAGTAAACTGTGAAGCTAACATGAGCTTCACTCTTATAAACTTAACATCAATTTCAGAGCATGTGGCTACACATTAAATTGATTTATTTAATGATAACTTCAGTTAACCAATTTTTTAGCGCTTCATAGGAAGCAACTATTAGCCTGAAGATGCTTTGCTAAAGTTACTGGAAAGAAAACACTACTGTCTCAATAGCAGGATTTCTTAAACGTAACCGATTACAGGCAGTTCACTTTCTTAGTCTGGTTCTTAAGACGGTGTATTAGGGCCAGGCTACAGATTTTTCTTTTTTGAGAATAATGTCGTAACATTACGAGAATAAAGTCATCATACAACAATCTGTTTCAGAAAGAAAGCTTCGAGCTCCGACCAGCATATGATGGCCGACCAGTGCCACCAAACAACAACTTTGATATGATGCCAAATTTGATGCTGGTGCTAAAAGATTTCCTTATTAGTTAAACCAGAGCCAAAGTATAACTTCACATGATGACATTCCTCATTTTAAGGAAGAAAGAAGAAAGAGTTGTCAATTTTAGGACTTTGTTCTCTCAATATTACAACTTTATTCTCGCAATTTTATTACTTTATTCTCGCAATTTTATTACTTTATTCTCCTAATTTTATTACTTTATTCTCGCAATTTTATTACTTTATTCTCAAAATGTTATGACTTCATTCTTGTGATTTTACGACTTTATTCTCCTAATTTTACGACTTTATTCTCCTAATTTTACGACTTTATTCTCCTAATTTTACGACTTTATTCTCCTAATTTTACGACTTTATTCTCCTAATTTTACGACTTTATTCTCATAATTTTACGACTTTATTCTCGTAATTTTTTTTACTTTATTCTCGTAATTTTATGACTTTGTTGTCATAATCGTACGACTTTATCCTCCTTACTTTATGATCTTATTCTCCTAATTTTATTACTTTATTATCCTAATTTTTTTTTACTTTATTCTCGTAATTTTATGATTTGTTCTCATAACGGTACGACTTTATTCTCCTAATTTTATGACTTTATTCTCCTAATTTTACATCTTTATTCTCATAATTTTATGACTTTATTCTCGTAATGTTTCAACTTTATAGAAGAAATAGAAGAAGAAAAATCTCCAGCCTGGTCCTAATACTCCTTCATAGGTTCTACCCCTTAAAGTGACAAAGAAAAGACATGAGCGAAAAGAAACAGGTTCACATGTGAGTGAGAGCGAATCTATGGGCAGAAAAGCATGACAATGCAGAGAAGCTGGAACTGAGGCTTGGAGCATATTGGAGGCATCCTGTTATAAAATCTACATGCATAAAATATTCCAAATATACAGGGAGTGTAGTTCATTTGCCTGCTGTTTAAATTAAACTGCACATACCAGTATTTATTAGCCATTTGCATTTTTGGTAGAATTTAAACTTAATAGGACTCTTTGCTGAATGAGTCCTGTAAACAAATATGACACTTTACTGTAGTCCGAATCAAGGTTACTGAGGTTAACTAAAACTAACGGAAATATATCAAAAAATAAAAATAAAACTGTAATAAGAGTTTACAAAACCAATAAAAACTAGCTGAGTTTTAAGAAGCTTAGTTTTGTGTTTTTAACATAAAATGAGGTCTAGTTTTTTAGCGCTTTACGGCATTACACCCTCAGATGGCAGGCATTACAGTCGTGCTGCAGTGGTCTGTCCATATTTGGGACTTTATCTATTCATTTATTTTTATTTTTTTGTCTTGTCAGTGGTTTTGCATAAAAGACTAGAAATATAACTGAAACGAATAAAAACTTAACTGAAACTAAGCATTTTCAGAAAGTAAAAACTAAACTAGCAAACCAAAAAAGTAAAAAAAAAAAAATCCAATGGACTTTTTTTCCAAGTTTGAAGACATTTTGCTTCCCATCCAGGAAGCTCTTTCAATCTTTTGAATTGCTTTTCAAAAGAAAAAGCTTCCTGGATGGGAAGCGAAACGTCTATAAACTCTGAAACAAGGTCCAGTGGATTTCTTTTTTTACTTTTTTTGGAAAGACTATGACCTTGATGAATGAGAATCTTCACCAGCATAAACTAGCAAACGAATACTAAAATCAAATGAAAACTAAAACAGAAAAGTTACTCAGAAGTCAAAACTGAATAAAAAGAACTACTAATTAAAATCTCCAAACTATTTTAACTTTTTTTGTTCTGACCTCCATGCTGCGCTCCCCTTAAACATGAGAGCTAATGACGCTAAAAGGAGTGTTAGCCAAAAATACAGTAGTAGTTCCTCGTCTCCACCCAATACGTCCCGGAAGCACAATCCGTTCTGCGAATGCGCCATCAGCTCATTTGTGCATCCAGATATACATCTAGTTCGCCCTTTTTATTTTGCTAAAAAGACCTAAATTATGTTTTTCCCTCCCCAAAGATAGTAAACGTACTAAAATATGCGCTAAAGGTTAATAATGTATTTTCTTAGAAAATAAATGCCTTAAAATCCTGTTTTATCACTCGTCTCTGGCCGATCTGCCCTGGGAATGGGATCCTACGCTACTTCTGGATGCTAATGCTACATTCACACCGGACGCAGCAAAATCGCGTCTGCTGCTTCATTTCTGCTGCTTGTACCAGTTAGTTCTGACGCGCGGCTGAAGCAGCTTTGCTGCTCTGGCTGTGCGGTGCAAAAGTGTGTCTGACGCACGTTGGGCGGAGCTTCACTATCCTTTCTCTGCCTTGCAGCTATATTTGCTGTGATCAGTGGGAATAAAGTAGTTTTAATATGTTTTTAAGTGAGAAAGTCCACCTGAAAACGTAATCAGTGCAGTCAGTTCATTCAGATTATTCTCCTGCCTTCCAATATTATTTCTGTCGGAGCCGCTCAGACCCCCACATACCAGCGGTGCGCCGACAGTAGGAATCCCTTCATCAGCAGCCTCTGGCCGGGTCGCCTCCTCGTGGTTCACCGCGGCGGCTGGTAGGTGTTTTTCATCTAAATAATCCAAACTGCAGGCAGCAGGATAATAAAAGACAACATATTCTGCCGGCAGATTTCTGCATTTTAAGTTAATTTAGGCGTCAATAAACTGTTTAAGAGGAGTGATCATCAGCGCTGTGTCTCTCTCCCTGCCAGCTCCCAGATCAGCTTCTCTGATTGATTGACGCTGCGCGTCGAGCAGCAAAAATTCAATTTTTCCATCTCGAGCAGCAGCGTGTTTGCGGCGCGTCACGCGCATCAGATGCTTAAACGCCCCAGACGCGCTGCTTCAGCTGCTCAGACGTGCTGCGCCTGCTGCTCAAAACGCGCCGCGGGACCTTTTGCTGCGCCTTGACGCGCGTCAACCATTGACTTTGCATGTAAACCCGCTGCTTCTGTCGTGCCAGCTGCGTCCGGTGTGAACGTAGCATAACTTTTTCGACTTTGGATTTAAACATGAATCTGTTTTTTTTGTTTTGTTTTATGTTTTCCTTTGTGTTAACATTATGGTATATAGTATGAAATCTAAAGAAAGAAACAACTAAAATGTTCACTCATATGGGTGTGCTCTGGTGGCGCAGTGGTTAGTGCACACGACCCATGTATGGAGGCCTTAGACCTCAACATGGGCGACCCTGGTTTGAATCCGGCCTGTGTTCCTTTCCCGCATGTCTCACAAGCTACTAGTGCCGTAAAAACTCAAAAGAAAAATCGTTTTATCACATTGCTGGACTGCTGAGCATGTCCGATGATGACGTCAGAGAAGCAGTTTAACGAAGAAAATGTAAATAGCATCAAAAGTTTATCAGAAAAGTCAGAAAGCTTTTTATTTTAAGATCTGTTTTAGCATTCTTTAGTGAGTTAAGGATAGAAATAAGTGATTAAATTATGTATGGAAACCCAGATATATATCTGTTCGCGCATGCGCAGAACGGATCGGGTAGTGACATAGCTTTCAGTGCAGTTAAACTTAGTAGTTACAGGTCTAGCACCCCTTGTGGCTAAAAGTTGCACAGTGTTGCTTTAAAAAAAGCTATTTCTTCACCATTGTTATGAGAGGCAGATGGCTGTATATTCTTGGTAAAAATGTGCAAAAAGCTGCAAGTGGCTTCAAGTAGAATTGGACTAGATGATAAATGCTTGGCAGCAGATATGAGTATTGAGCCCTGTGGTTTCCCTCTTTGGAATCTACAGCTTGGAGAAAATAAATAAAACCCTGACACATAAAAATGAACACAAAGCAATCAGGGGTAATTAAATGAAACGGTACGATTTGGGTCATCTTAACAGAGCTTTTTTCAGTGGTTATAATCAGTGGGTTTTCATTCAGTCAATCTAAAACGGTTAATGTCCCTTCATCGACATTGACTTAGAACATTTTTGTTTTGTTTTTTTGTATGAAAAACTGGCTGTTTGAAATATTATTATAACATATTATGCTTTTGTATCTGTGAGGTATCGGTCATGTTTGAGCTCCAGATGCAGAAAGAGATGAAAGTTTTTAAGATTAACTCTCCTATATGTGTACGCCCCCCCTAAGATATGCAAAAATTACTTGCAATAAAAAAGTCAAAGGTAAGTTTAAGTTTCTATATATCCAATCATGGGTTCTAAATTGTTTTATCCGTTTCAATGTTTTTTTTTTTCAAATACAAGAAAAAAAATGTGCTAAAAGTGAGAAGATCTCCCAGCTGCTTCATTTGCAAAGGTGTATTTTACTATAGGATCTGCATTTTATTAGGATTATATTAGACTGAACAAGAAACAAACTAGCATAACAAAAGGAGTAAAATATTTTGTAGTTTGCAAAACTTTTATATGAATAAAAAAGCAGCAGTGCATTTCTATAAAGCCTCACTTCCACTGATAACTTCAAATATTTAATCCAGAGATCCCAGCTGCCTCCATAAGTCACCTAAATTGTGAATAGAGCACTTTTGGAAGTTCCTGAAAAACAGCGAGGAGAACTTTACCAACCAGATCTAATGTGGAAGACATCAGACTGAGGTTTCGTAAGGAGTGGCTTTCCAGAAACAAAACCAAGGTTTCTGAGAGGATTGTGGCAGAACTAGACAACCGATTTGTTTAGCGTTTCCTTGGACTCATGTCTGGATACAACTTTTCATTCCTGACAGCTGTGGATTACTTGTGTCGTTCACGTTCCACCCAGTCTTGCAATCCGCCAGGATAATGCTGAACACTACAAAGAAGGAAATAAAAGACAATTAAGGAAACAAGTCGAAAGAAACGTCTACTTCACATTAAATAAATATGTCTTTACTGACAGAATGATGAACTTAATTTTAAAAACAGAACTGAAACCTCCGGGTTTATTCACATATCACAGTGTGTAGCAAAATGTGTAAAGGTAAGTTTTAGGGAGTCAGCATGAAGCTGGCTCCATCTGCAGATCAGTTTTTTGTTCCTTTCCTCCATTACTGATCTGTGGTCAGTGCTAGATTGCAGCCTCTTCTTCCCGTTTATCACAGTGATGTGTGACCACGTAACGTGGAGGATGTTATGACGGCATTACGCCTTGTGTCGCTTAGGAAACTAGCTTCAAACAAAATGGCAACATTACAAATTTGCATTTCCTTTCTTTCAAACATTTAAATGTTTGCTTAAAATTTGAATTTCAGTTGGATGGAAACATGGTTGCTCACTACTTTAGTTGAGGCTCCTTGATTTTATGCAGGGCATGTTTCCATCAATGATTTAATCCCCATTCTGAAGCATTGAATTAGAAGAGCTTGATAGAAATATATCTTTTATGCACATTTTCGGTGATTTACAGCAAAGTTAATCTCAAAAACTTTATTTGATAATTATGTTTTTCAAATTTTAGTTTAGGTTTTTTTTTTATTATTTCCGTACTCGCGTTCTTGTGAATTAAGAAACGGCCTATGTCTGAATGAAGGTCGTTTTCAGCGGTACTTCTGCTGTGATCCATTTCGGGGGCCTGCTGTCCCGCGTTCGAGGATGAATCACCCAGACAACAGAGGGAAAGTAGAGACGGCATTCTGAAGCTCAGACAGGAGCAGCGTGGAACATCAACAAGAGAGCATCAGAAACGGGATGAGGAGGCAGCTTGTCAGTGCTTGCTAGCGGAAGCAATCTAATTTCGCCAAACTCACCAAAATCACCTCGCTATATTTGCCACCTTCTCTTGCAGCACTTTAAAACCGCCCTCTACATAGAGATAACAAAAAAAGTCCTACCTTCTAGCGGCTTACTTTGTGTTTGGTGCGAACGAACCTTAGAGGGCAGATTATACTTCTGCAACCGCACACATCAAATGTCGCTTGGGTCTGGTCGCGAACCAGTTTTGCTGTTATGCTTCACCACCATCAGTCTGGAATTTCTAGGGATGCACAGCAGTTTCCTGCCAAAGAGCAAGGGGGAGCCTATTCGAGAACTCGCAAGAACTTCAACTGATGGTCACAAGAACTTCGGCAGCGCCGGTGAGAGTGTTTATTTTCCAAAATAACAATGGCGCATCTGCCAGATATCACGGCCACAGAGATGGATCTAGAGCTGCTAGAAATCGAAGAGGAACAAGTTCTGTTAATGGAGTTGGCAAAAAGATCGATTAATCTTTCGTCGTAGTTGTCCAATGTAGTTGTTCCTCGGCTTTTAAAAATGGCCCGCCCCGGCACCAAATCGAGAAGGACGACCATACAGACAGCCGGAAAGGCATACCAAGGACCAATCACAGCTGCTTTATGTCTGCGGACTTTCACTTGAGGTCTGCACGGGTTTTTGACCGTCTGACGTGTAGCCAGGATTTTTTTTTAGGTGCGCAACTATGGTTGCAGAACCTCTGCGTGGGGGGCGTGGTCTTGCACAGAGACAGATTTGATGGTTATAGAGGTTATGCGTCAGAAGCATAAATTGGCCGTAATGCGGCCGATAGCCTGCAACTTTTAGATGTTTCCTCGGTCCAACACACATGAACCAGTTAATACGATGACCAAGAGGAATCTGGAGAAACAGCATGTATACTAAAGAGGTAATTTAGTCATTTGATTCAGGTGTGTTGGATCCAACAATCACAGGATACCAATCCTCAGGAAGTGGATGATGTTGCCACCACCATGCCTCACAGTAGGAATGGCATGTTTGTTCCTCATGCATTTAATTTATGAAGTATAACCAGGATTTTCCTGGAGGGGGGTGAGTCTACGACCTGAGCTGTAGATCTCTGTGTCTATGACTGAGAAAAACAAACACACACACAAACACACACAAAAAAAACAAAACAACGGTCTCTACTAGATTATATTTCAAAGCAACTGGTTGCCATAGATTTTATTTAGGGGTATTAGGAAAAGGGGGTGATATATTATAAATGAAGGGTAACATTTTTTTTTCTTTTGTTTTTTTTTCTAAAAGAAATTTTAAACCATACATTTTAAATAAATTAAATATATTAAATTGTGTAATTAAAATGAAAACAAAGAGTAGGAATATGGCCTTTTAAATGAATAATCTGAGGGCTTCAAAACATATCTTACTCTCTATATCCTAGCGAGGCGGCTGTGTTGAGTGCAGTCTTGCTTCTGACCCCAGCCAGACACACGAAGACAACATTATCCGTTTGTCTCGGCATTTCCCCGTCATATTTTTCTCTGAACTCCTCAGGAGCAAGCTGGAGGGCAGAGCTCACCTGTCCCACTGGGCCATGAAGGCAACACGAACATGAGAGATAAGAAGTCACCGTTAGATAAAAATAACAATTTAATGAGGCACGCGTTGTCAAATTTTAAACCATATAGATCATATAAAGACAATAAAACAAGGCAACAAAGATAATCCGAGCTCTTTTTTTTTTTTTTTTTACTCACATGGGACGTTTACTGACCCAGGGATGAATCCATACTCCCTGAGCTCCCAGGGCTCTCGGACATCTACCACCGCTGTTTTCCCCTCAGCCAGGAGCCGCTTCAGCTGCTCGTAATCTACGTCTGTGTTTCGGACTTCAGAGCTGAACCTCGTGCGCTGAAACTCACTTTCTGAAAACAAAACAAACACACCGATATAAGGTTTATATATGGACCTCACCGCGATACGATTATTCCCTTGAGTAAAACTCACTTTTGTAGCCGCTGTAAGTGTTAGCAAAGCTGGACACAGGTACCCCACCGATATAGGATGATGACACTAGCGGGACGGGGAGTCTCGGGAGAAATCTTGCCAACCTCCAGCATCTTCTAAGCGCCATAACAGCCTGACCGAGAAATTCCTGCCAAACACGCCGATAGCACACAGCACCGCAACGTCGGATGACTTTCACGCGCAGCTACAAGAATCCGTCCGCGCATGCGCAGAGACGTAGACGAGGGACTGATGTAAAGAATAACACTTGTGACCATATGTTTATTTGTTAATAATCATTGAATGTTTACGCATAAAAATAATGTAAAACTTTTACACAAGAAATTGGAGGTCATTATAATTTTAATGAGACATTGTGAACTGGACCTGAATGCAGCATTTGATCCCGCTGGCCTGCCGTAGTGCGTCATATGTTGACTTCTGCTGCTAAAGCTACTGAAAGATAGGCAACGTTTTTAGCTGGAAGTGAACCATAGAAAAAGAAAACCATCTCGAATTTTACGGCTGGTTTGTTGTCGCTAACGTGGCCGTTTGACATGTCTTAAAGGAGAGGTGTTTTTGTTGGCTCAAAGTTACGTATTAGTTGCCGCATTCGTTACGACATGCTCATGTAGCTAGCTGGTTAGCTAGCTGGTTAGCTAGCTTGGGGGAGTTGAGACATTACTGTGGGCTTCAGCTAACAGCAAAGGAGTGAGCTGAAAGAGGTGAGCTTAATCTGTCTTAAAGCCAAATGTTTTTGAAGGTGTGAATTTCTTATGTAAATCTCACAAAGGTTTTATACACAAACTTTATTAAGCTGTCAGCTGTGTCTAGGCCTCCTGTCCCTGTTCTTGAGTAGAACATGAAAACTGTTAATACACTCATTTTCTTCACCTGTCATGCTTTACTCGTGTGTCGATAACTTATTCCGTTCAACCATTCAGACTTGATCTAAATGTATAAATATGTCAGCGCTAAATATGATGAGTGGATATTAGATTTATTACTTCAACAAATATTTATTGGATCTCAGTGGCAGCATAAAAGTCATACAAGTTATTCAGCCCTAAAATCGTCAGAAAAACTCAAGGTTTTTGCCCTTATAAATGATTTCTATGACCTTGATCACTACAATTTGACATGCAACTACTCCATTCATCCTTGGGTTTGTACATGTCTTAAATGACTGATAAATTAATAAAGATAAAATAGATAACAGTGTTTTGCAAAAAAAGCAGATTTTTTAAAAATAGTTGTGTTTTCAGAGAATTCCCCTCATTTTCATGCATTTCAGTTCATTCATTCACCTCATTATGACCTTTTTTATCAGTTTATCAATCCATTATTTGTTTTTCTGTCATCTGTCTGCCACACATCAGTATATCTGTCTATTGTTCAGGGGTTCATCTATCTGTTTGACAATTTAAAACTCATCTTGCCGGCCAGCCATCCATCCATCTTATAGACTATGTTTTTGTTTAATATCTAAATTTTAAGCTATGCTGATTTCAGTATAACTGTTTTAATTTCATCTTCAAGTTTTGTTCTTATGCCTTTAAAAAATGAAGATGGCCTGACTATTACATACAATATATAGCCTTACATCAAAATTGTGTATGAACCCTTCATGTATTCTCATTGTGATTTATTAGTTTTTTTCCCCCCTATACTCCAGCTGTTGAGGCTTGTTTTGTTAGTTTTAGTTTAAATCCTTGGTGGCTCAAAAGTGTAAAAGTGGAAAGACCTCAACAACTAAGAGTTAAACTAATGTCCAGTTTTCTAAGGCAACAAAGGTTATTCAGAAGAAAGCATTGAAAACAACTTTCAAGAAGCAGGCGTCTGAGTAGATTCATCCCAAGTTTATAGTTGGAAACAATAAATAAGCATGGCTTGTTTGAAAAAAGTCAGCAGAAGAGTTTTTTGCTTAAAAATAAATTAGAAAACCTGACGTACATTACACAACTGGTATCAGAACCACAAGGCTTCTAGAGAAAATTCCTTTACACAGATGAGAAGGCAATTAGTTTGACTATTATAAACAGTCCCAAATTGGTAGAAAACAAAATGATGCACTGTATATTAGCCCAGACAGATTCTAACAACTACCAAGCAAGGCCGAGGAAGACTGATGGTTAGGGCCTGCTTTGATTTTTAGAACACCTTTAAATCGAGTCATCAAATTAACCATAAAGTCTAATTCCAACCTGTTCCTAATGCCGCAGGACAGAAGGGTTTTCTATCAAACTGGGCAGGATAATAGAGGACTGATTTCAAGGCAGAGAGTCTGCAGCAGACTGACGGGGAAAAAAAGAAATTAAAATGCTGCAAAGGTTTCAAAGTCCGAATCCTCTAATTTTTATGAACTAAGGCAACATTTTATACATTTTCTTCTTATAGATGAAAGCGAGACCAATGACGTGAAACATATCATGACTGAATCCAGTTCCTATAAATGAAAGTTTCTCTATAAGCCACAGAAACAAGGAGATGATCTCATTACTGCAGGATCCCTGAAAACATCCGTATTATATTGCTTTGACAAACTCCCCAAAAACATGTGCTAAGACAGTTTTTGCTATTTCAATTAAAACAAATCACAATATCTTCCAAATTCACTTTCAGAGCTCCAGATGCGGCTAAAGGATCCCTTTCCTCTGAAAGCCGCAGACATGACAAAGCGGACAAATAAACCTCGGAAACCTCGAGATGAGGAGTCTTCAGACGAAGTCAGTGGTAAGTAAAGGCTGGGCTTATAGTGGAAGACTTAAAGTTGGTGAGTCACTCCTGATGCCACCAGGATCTAAATAATGATGGTTCAGTATGAATTGAAGAAAAAAAAAATGGAGCCTCTTGAGTTTAAGTAACAAATTTAACTGCAGTGCTGCACCACTGATAGAAAATGTTAGCATTTTCTGAACAGATGGTAAAAAATAATCAGATCACAATCTGCAACATTATTAGCTTTCTTTTTATGCAGCTGAGCTTTTTTAAATTGCCAGAATAATTAAAGATAAACCACAACTTTCATTTGTTTTCTTAATGTCATCATCTATTAAAGATTGCAACCACCTATAAACTGAATATCCAGTTTACTTTGCATTCAGACTCACTTTCTGCATGCCTACTTCAGTAGATTTTGAGGTTTATTCTTTTTCCTTTTTAATTATTTTGAAAACAGAATTGATTTTGACCCAAACCTTGACTCTAAAAGCGTGGAATAAACAACTTTAAAATGAGAAACAGATAAAAGGTCAGGGCTATAAAGTTACTCTTTTTTTTATTTTTTGCTTTTCTAAAAAATGTTTTTATTTAATTTTTTTAGTTTCAGTAGGTTATTTGGCAAAACAATTTATTAAGCATTACTTCAAGCTGTAAGAAACTCAGCACTGCCTCCATCTGAATCATGGATTCCTCTGTAATTCTGATGATTTTTCAAAAGCTAAAGGCCCTGAATAAATAATCCAACAATAAAAGCTACAGAAAGTCTTTCATGTGAAGAGTGTTTGTTTGTTTTCCAGGACTAACATGCCAGCATGTAAATAAAGCTGTGGACCTGAGCTCGGTGAAAAAGTCGGTCCTGTCGAGCGTGTGGCTGGTCTGCTCCGATTGTCTGAGGGAGAGGACGATGATCGACGAAGAGTCGACCACATCCCACGACATCCTGGTGTGCCTAAAATGTGGTTTTCAAGTAAGATGGCTTCTTTTTAAAACAGCATCAACAGATTTCCCTTTCTCTCACAGTTCTAAACAGCTTTTTTTGGCCCCTTTAATATTAAAAAGCCAATTAAATACATTGAAGTTTGTGGTTTTAATGTGACTAGATCCCAGTTCAAGTCTGACGTCACTTTAATAAATATTTTAATATAAAATATACACTTTATACAATATACGAATATACACTTTAATATAAAATAATCCTTTTTATATAAAGAAGACTGAAGGAAGTGTCTTACAGGGCTGTAACCAGTCAGGAATCCAGCACGCCGTCAAGCATCACCAGACCTTCCATCCAGAGTCGCACTGCATCACAATCAGCCTGAACACGTGGAAGGCCTGGTGAGAACCCCGGGGTAGAGGGGAGGGCTATGTGGGTTGATGATGAAAAAAAGTGAATCCAGAGAACTGAAACACTGACAATTTAAAAAAGTAGGAACAACAAATCTTTATTTTTTAAAACAGTCACAGTTTTTTTTTATCCAAATAAACATATTTACAAATCCACTTTAACCAAATGACTGTCCTCCAATCCACAATGGCTTTGGTGTTGATTAACGGCACCTTGGAGCTTCAGCTTAGTAAAAGTACATTCTATACATTTTTAATTAGTGGTATATTTTGGTTGTAGGTTTAATTGAATTCTTTCTGTGTTAGTTATTTCTATCCTCCCTGCTTTTTCCAGGTGCTTCGAATGTAACGAGGAGCTCTCTACACACTGCAACAAAAAGGCTTTGGCTCAAACCCTCGACTTTTTACAGAAGCATTCAGTCAAGGCAATATCAGGTAAGCTGGGACATCTCAGAGATGCAGAGATTCAGTCAGTCTCTTCTCCTCCATGAATATTAATTTTTTTATGATGGATGGTTGGATGGATGGATGGATAAATGGTTTTTAAAAAGTTTTCAGCTCAATGTTCAACTATATTGCTGCTCCCCCTTGTGGCGATAGCTTTCTCCCCCCTCTAAAGGGCTTGTTATACTCCTGCAGCAGTGTGTCGCTGTGAGCTTATCGCAGATATTTGTGATTTATTCCCAATATTGAAGCGTGGTCTGCGCCATGTTATTCACAACGCAAGAGGGACAATCAGGAACTAGCTGTGGGTCTAGATACGGCCGAGGTGGTGAGGAAGTGGGGGCAAGTTTGTGTGACAACGAAGGGACATGAGGGCCAAAAAGGGCGGAGATCCAGGGGGAAAAAGGGTCCCAGCGTTCTCGCACACCTCGCTCTTCACGAGTCATTTTCCACAATGGCGGCCTTAAGTCACACAAGATTGAGGAGTTATTAGAATGAGTCCAAGTTGGACAACCGGTACCAGATCCTGACGTTCGGTGGTTGCCATCATTTACATTTGGACCAAGATGTCCTTTCCCCCTCATTCAGTCCATCTGGGTCCCCCTCGCTCACCCCCAACTCGCCATCATCTCATGTATTTACAGGCACACACCTTCTGTCTCTGGCTTCTGGTTGTGCTGGCATACATAGAGCTTTTCTAACATACTGTTGCGGATCAGAGTGGTGGGCATCAGCGCTTTTGGTCTCAGTGGTTGTCTCGGCATAGCCTACTACCCGGTTCCATGTCGCCAGCGGCCAGTTGCCCAGGCCCTGTAAAGCTGGTCCCTCATGTATCCCATGGATGGAGAATCTCAGGACTCGCTCTGCCGCAACCCCCCACCCCTCCCCACCTTGAACACTGCATGACTGCACATATTAGAGGAATTAAGCGCTTGAGTAACGCTTCTCGCCTGGGTTCCCTGAAGAACATGAGCAGCTGCGTGGGGGTCTAGCTTCTGTGCAATCTTTCCTTGTCTTTTCCATCGCTATCCGTTTCTGTCCCCTGCATTCTCTGTGGAGCTGCTGTTCGTCTCACCACCTTTGGGCCTGTGTGCCGCACTAGTGGGATCCAGGGTCCTCAACAAGTCAAGGACTGGATTCTAACAGCTGGAGTGCTCTAAATCTCAGCGGACTCATGCTTATTATTCACTGAAAAGGGATAAAGGAAGATGTTGAACCTTGAAAAAGGAAATCCTCTTCCACTCAGTGGCGTTCTGTGTGTCCGAGGCCCGGTTAATAACTTTGCTCTATTGATATTCCTGATTTATCTTTGAATTGCCGTCCAGCGCTTGAAAACATTCAGCTTTTGTCTTGAGGTGTTCTTTTTTTGCCCTTGTTGTTTTCTGAACAAAAAACTGTTATAAAAGGTGTATTAATGGGTCAAAAAAAAAATTAGGTTTGACAAATTCTGCAGTAAAATACTCATAATACAAACAGCGGTGGGGAAGGAAAGTAGAGTTACAATATATGCAACAAAACCAGTCAGCAGAGCAGATGATCCATATCAAAACAGGCAACTTTGAAGGGAAAGATTAATCTACCACTGGAAAAAATTATCTAGAAATAAGTAAAAATGTCTTAAATTAAGTGTATTTACCCTTAATTTGAGTAGGTAAATTAGATAGTTTGTCAATGGAATTAGTATTTTACTCTTAAAATAATATAATTATATAATATGCAATTTAAATAAGACAATACAATTGTGTTTTCTTATTTTAAGATGTCTCTTTTACCTCCTCAGTCCAATAACAAATGCATATTTTAAGAAAAAATGACTTATCTAGATTTCATTTTTTTCCAGTGATAACAGGAGCAGCTCACACATTAGCATAGTTTGAATTCAATAAAGCTAATGAAGAAGGAAAACTGGTTCTTCAGCCTCAGAACCTGGGATGGCTCCAGCTCTCTTTAGAAAGCTTTATACTTATCATCACCTCCTGGATTCATCTCTCTGCTTACAGATTACAGGATTGAATATTTTCAGATTAAATTAAGGTGACCCAGTACTTCACAAATCCAACCTCTTTGTAATGAGTTCCTTTACTTGGGAAAATGGTAAAATTAAAGTATTACCAGGCCCTTTTTTATGCAGAGCATCTAAAAAAAATCCCCTTTAATGGCCAAGTCGAGTGTAGCAGGTTTTATCAGACGGCTCATGATTTCCAGGTTAATAACTGCGAGAGATGGCTGGAGGTTGGTTCTCAGCGCTAAAACGAGGGTAGATGTTAGCCATGCTCCCTTTCTGCTAAATAAACCAGGTCAAATATAATTTTCACTTTATACTGGGAGGCTGAGAGTTCAGCAGCCGTGTCTCTCACGTTAGCTAAAAGGGTAGCAAGGGCATTCCACATTGGACTGTTTACTAGATTTATAACCTCTTATGATTGTTTTTGTTGTCAGTGAAATGTGTAAAAAGCACAAAATTGATGGAGGTACTTTGGATTTTCATGCATAAGTCTTATAGTATAATCTGATGGAAAATGGTAGACCATCCATGACACCCTCTATCAGAAGTCTTTTTAAAATTTTGAAAAACTGGAGGGAAAAAAAGACTACTTCAAAAATGCTGCTTTTCCAAAGGTTTTCTTCTGTTATCATGAAACAAAGGGCTGTGACCAAAAAAAAGTAGATGACTGAAGGTAGAAAATAAGTAACCATTGCAACGACTGCAATGATAAAAGCACATTGAAGTCAAAGACAACTCAAACTGGTTTGAAGGCCAGGAAATAAAAGTGTGTTTTTCAAACGAGCCTTAAAAACAATAAGAGAGTTGGCCTGCCTGAAATGAAGCTGTGAATCATTTCATGGTGTTATTCCTCTCTGTCACCTTTGAGCAGATCAGAAAAACGAGAGGGTATTGAACTGTTTAAGCGTTTTCTACGCATACTGGAGGATTTAGAAATATATTCAGAGGTTAACCAAAATTCAAAGCTGCTAATTCTCTTTTGCCTTTACTATTTAAACATCAGGCTGCAGCATTTTGACCCAAGTTGCAAACATACAATGGATTTCTGGTTGATTCTATAAAGAAGTGCATTGCGGGAGTCAAGCCTGGATTTTATGAAAGCACATATTACTGATGTCTGGTTTCTGTAGGCACCATTATTGTAGGCAGGCATGTAAATTAAAAGAAGCAGGATTTAACAATTTTCTAGATGACTGTGTACTTTCATGGAAGGGTTAATTTCATTCCCAGATTAGCGCCAATTTGTAAATCAAATTAGTCCTAAAAGGAAACGTTTATTCTTGGCCTGCTGTTTTTTTCTACTCAGTAGAACAGTAAGCTTTTAGTCTTCTTCTCATTTAAAGCTCCAGTGTTTAATGATTACAGGGATCTACAGACAGGAATGTAATACATCACACATAAGTATCTTATTTATTATCATCTACGAATGGAAAGTCTCAATCTTTATGTTTGCGTTGCTTTAAAAATTGCTATTTATTATTACTTAGGAGCGGGTTGCGCTCGTATGAAGGCAGACATCTTTGCACCACAGCAGCACAGAGCTGCCAAACTAGCGACTGTAGAGATCACCGTTACCCTCGAATGTGACTGTGGCAAGTTAGGCCTACATAAAATATGTATCCTTCACTGGACTTATATAATACTATTTATAAAGCTATCCATGTAAACAAACCTTGTCATCACCTGACCAGATAAGTTATGCGGACATCATGGAAGCCATTTTGTACCATGATGGCCTCCATATCATTGAAGGGTGAGAGACAGTGGAAGGGGCCGTTCATGACTCCGCAGTCTAAAGGCTGATTTATACTCAGAAATCAGGTCGTCTGCGTGTGTGTTGCAGTGAACGCAAATGTTCCCCTGCCACAGACACTCTGCTGCACCTCTCCAAAATTGTAGGTGACCGCAGACAGGAGGCCTCTGATTGGTCAAATCTACATCTGTTCTACCTGTTTGGTACCTTGCCGGCTTGTTTTGTTTGTATGACTGCCATTGTGGAAAATGACTCGTGAAGATGGACCAGCTAGAAGAGCGAGGTGTGAGAGAACACTGGGACCCTTTTTCCACCTGGATCCGCGCTCTTTTTCACCCTCCGTTCCCTCGGTTGTCACACAAACTTGCCCTCACCACCTCGGCCGTATCTAGACCCTCAGCTAGTTCCTGATTTTCTCTCTTGCATTGTGGCGTGGAATAACATAGCGCAGAACACGCTTCAATATTGGGCATAAATCAAAAATATCTGCGACAAGCTCACTGCGACACACTGCTGGAGTATAACCAGCCGTTAACCATTAGATGTTCTGAGATCATTAGAAATATCTCACACAGTTCAGTGGAAGCTTCCAGAGCGGAAGAGTAAAGAAAAAAACTCAATGGTTGTGAGAGTTAGCAAGCCTTTCTATTTAATACCTTGGATATTATCATCTAGCCATGGTTCCAATCTGATGATCGAATGTCTAGCCTTCTCTGGAGCAACACGGTTAGGAATATCTTAACAGACACAATGAGACTGAAAGGTTATCTCCTCAGTGATTGAAGACACTGCGGAATCTATTCAGAATTAAAAATCCCTAAAAAATCATTAAAAATCCTTAAAACGAGCTTCAGTTGAGATGATAAAATCATAGAGCGAAAAAGGAACAGGGCTTTACAGGCATGTTTCCTGTAAAGCCCTGTTTTGTGGCACTTGGTTGGGATTTTTTGACCCACCTAAGTTGAAAGTGACCAACTACATCTTTCTTCTAAATCTTCTTTGAGTCGTTACCTTTCTTGGCTTCACTTCTTCCCAACCGGTCACCAAATACGGTAGGTATAGAAGCAACCATGCATTGTGTCAACAAGGTGACAGTTGTTTGCTAAGGAGCTTGTGAAATTGCATTTGATTGCGAAGGCCAGGTTTTCTTAAGAAGCCACCGTTGCACTGTGTTTTTACTATAGACCTCTAACACAAAGGAGCCACAGCTCAGATTTTTTTTTTTCTCAGAGA